TCTATTTTAATCCTCTGAAAGGATTTTCAATTCCGTTCAATCAATTCGGAAAAATTTACTAAACTGTAATGTGTCGATAATTTCTACCTTCCAGCATCGCTTGAATGTTGGTCGGGCCACTGACGGGACTCTAAACAATTTTTTAAACTTTGAGACAAGATTTTCCTTGAATATCTCAGAATATATGAAAGAAACATTTACAAATGGGAAATTCTCCTGCACCCAGCTTATTCTCCAGACTTGATCTCTGCATCGAATTACCATCCTTTTCGATCGATGCAACACGCGCTCGCTGATACACATTTTTCCAATTACGAACAAATAGGAAAATGGGTGGATACATGGTTTGCTTCAAAAGACAGCTCGTTTTATCGTCGCAGAATCACTTTTGCCAGAAAGATGGGAAAAAGTAATAAAAAACAGTGAAAAATATTTTGACTAATTGTAAGATATTAATTCATATTCTTATCGAAACAAATACGTTTTTCAAGAAAAATACGGCAAAAACTAAGTGTATCCCCTAATATTTTCAATAAAACAGTTTTTCCAGAATTAGTCTCATTATCTTTGGCACAGACCAGATTAATTTATCATCGATTGTTCACACCTATTATCAAACTCTTGTAGTAGTTCTATTAAACGATCGTACATTAGAGTTTTAGCATCGATGGCCCATAAAAAATCCATATGATTAAATAACTTATATGGATTTTCTTCTAGCACGATAATATTCGGCAAGTGCCTGTATGTCTCGAGGACACTCTGGAAACAAAAGTATAAAAGATAAAGTCAGTAATAATAATAAGAGAAATATAAGAAATTATTTCGTAAAGGCTATTTTCATATATATAAATAATAATATAGGCAAATGAAATGAGAGAGAGATAGAAGAGAAGAAGGAAAAAAAGGAGATGAAAGATAAAGAATGACGGAAAACGGGGGAAGAAAACAATAAAGGAAGATATTTCATATAATAATATGAAATAAAAATCATACAGCTCTATTTAAAAACTCAAGGTAATCTTAAATTATTTACAAAGAAAAATATTTTTTTTATAAATTCTTTACCTAAATTAATTATAGCTTACATGAAGCAAATAAAATTCTTATTACAAATGTATTAGGTATGTGCAAAGTACATTTATAATATGTATATAGTACAATATACCTGTAATAATATAATAATATATAATATGTATATATGTATATGTATAGTACAATATACCTGTAGTATATTTAGTTAATATGTAGTTTAAAAATTTTATTTTTTTTTTAATATATAATTTTTAATCAAAAGATGTTTTTTTATAAAAATTAATAGTAGCTTTACCGATTTTGGAGTACGCAAATCATTAGCTCCATAAAATAAAGCCAAGGGTGCAGTAATTTTTTTAAGATCATACATTATGGGTGTTATCTGTCCATATTGTTTGTAATTATTGAAATGTCCATAATCGTAGGCTTGAAATTTTTCTACAACAATGAATATTAATTATCTACATAAAAAAGAATTTTAAAAGATATTTACAAATTTTAGTTTTTATGAGGACAAACAAAACATTATATGATTATGAATAATGTGCTTAAAATAATTATTACTGAAACGGTTAATTTATTATGCATATATTATATACATATTCAAGGTGTCTGCTACTGATCAATGGTAAAGCATTCGTGGACAGGTAGAGTGGGCCAAACTGAACAGAAAAGTCCTCTACCATTTTGCAATTTTCGCAATAATTATCGAGATATTAATTTATAAAGATCGTTAAATTTGAAAGCGCAGCAAGATACGCCCGACAGCCGCGGACCGCGGTCGCCTAGCGCG